GAATAAAAACACTTGCAAGAGCTTTTTTCGAGAACAGTCTGTTATTTGTAAAGCGTGTGAAATATGATCGAGACAGAAGGGGAAAGAAAACATGAAGAGGTTTGGATGAGAGGAAAAAGAAGGAGAAGTAGAAATACGGCGTGGAAAAAAAATATCCACTACGCTACATTTGAATACGGCAAACATCAGATGAAAAGTCGAAACCTGAGCTTCTCTGAAATGACGCTAATCACAAAACTTATCGGCAAAACAGCCAGGGGAGGGGGGAGTTCATTTCTGAAACTGAATCCGCATTTTGGAGAAAATAAAATGTTCAGAAGCAAAATAGAAACAAGACATATCTCTTGCGCAGAACTCAGACTTTGCGATAAAAATATCTGAAATATTTCGTTGAATGAAGGATTTTCCTTCTTTTTTCTTCTCTTTTTATAATGATTTCAGTATGATTGGTTCACTTGATTAGAATTGCAGTCGAAGGCATAAACCCACGAAAAAAAGAATACGTATAAAGAAAAAGACTGGAGTAACCTTTGTCAGACCGTCTGTGTGTTGCGTGCATCGAAGAAAAGACGATGTGTAAATCTAAAGCTGTGAAACAGCAAAACTGTTGTCTTGCTTGTCCCACAGTTTCGAGCTCACCTTCCCTCCCCGTTTTCAAAAATCCATAAGGTGGCTGAATAGTTTTCATTTTCTAAAGCAGACACCCCCACTTAAGAGTTGGCATCCATTTTGACAGTATGGAATTTGAGGGAATGAGGGGTGGCTGGGGGGGGGGGGTCTAGGGAGTGGACATTCAACGACAGGTGAAGAAGGCTATAAATAACATATTTTTTACACAAACAGACAGACCAGTTTTTCTTTTGAAACCAAGAAAATTCCGAAGCTAGACACCGAGCTTCACTTCCACGCTAGTGAAAAGAGGAGCACGATCAAACAAAAACGAGATTCAAATTGGAGATCCCAATCTGTCGCGGTGGCAAGTGTCCAATTCGTCAGATATACAGTGACTGACTGACGCCGCAGTCGGGTGACGAACTTGGTAAACGAGAGAAAAAAATCGGGCATAGAATCCGAGTGGGTGGGAGTTCCATGTTTCTCGTCCTTCCTGATTGTCTCGTCTCCCTCAGCCTGATGGTGTGCCATGGATCAACGGCTCTGCCTTTGAATTTACCAAAATGTGTCTCAAATGATGTTAAACATCACCATTAAAAGAAAATTCAAGGGTGACCGAACGTCTTGCTCAGCTCAAAGGATATATTTTGCACCGGCAAAACTCATTCAAATACCCACTTCTTCAGCTCCACCTTCTCTACCTCAGCCTCCCTTAACCCGTTTTCACCTATCGAATCTCCTCAAGCCAATTCTCTCAATACATCAAACGTTACGAGCTTGCAGAAGCGGAAAGAAAACCTGATCTTTGGAATCCATGCTACTGGTTTCAAACCTATACCCCCCCCCCTCTTTGCAGACAGCGAAGGAATAGTGGCGGGGAACACAAACAACAACAAAGAAACGAGAAAAAAAGTATACTCAAGAGAGGAAAAGATAATATGGAAGATGAAGACGAAAAGTTTAAAAAAAAAGAAAAAAAAAACTTGTCGCAGACTTTGGGGTTTGGGAGCAAGAAAAAAAAATTAATTTAACTAAAACGCATCTTTCATACATCTGCAAGATGATACCAAGCGCGGCTTCCAGAGTAGACCGCTATAAATACCTTGCTTCACTCACCCCAGCCTAGCTGTAGCGAGCAATTTACCTGGCGTGTCTACCTTAGCTCAGTTTGGGAGGGTAGCGGACTCAACACGCACACACCCAGAGCTGCACGGCGCTTTACCTAGCCTAGTTCTTAGTGCGCCGCCCGCCGATATAAATATTTGCCGGCGAAAATCAGGTTAGCTCGGAACGTGCTGATCCAGGGAAATTTCTCACAATATAAACGTTAGGGTATTATAATGAACAAGGGCTAAGATAGCGTTGAGCGAAGAAGAGAAGAAATATGAAAGGGAAAAGGGGGAATGATGGTGGTAAGACTAAGATGAAGGATGTGAGGTATGTAGAGGTACTTGGATTTTGGGAGTGGGATAAGCAGGGGACCAGCCAAGGAGAAAGAAATCGCCTAGAAGTGAACATGGCGTTCAATAGTCTGTCTGTCTGTCTGTCTCTCTCTCTCTCTCTCTCTCTCTCTCTCTCTCTCTCTCTCTCTCTCTCTCTCTCTCTCTCTCTCTCTCTCTGTCTCTGTCTCTGTGTCTGTCTGTCTGTCTGTCTGTCTGTCTGTCTGTCTGTCTGTCTGTCTGTCTGTCTCTCTCTCTCTCTCTCTCTCACACACACACACACACACACACACACACACACACACACACACACACACATACACACACATACAAAACATACAATCAATTTGACACACACAAACACACACACGCATATACACAAGCGCACACACACACAAATATATAAAAATGGTGAAGGTACATTTAAGGAAACAGAGGAGAAGATCATGAGAAGAAAAAAAAAAGAAGACCCATGCGGTTGCAGAAGTGTAATGGATGATGTCGCAGACAACAACAATCAAAGTGGCAACAACAGCATAAATATATGTCAGCACAAAGCATTATAGGTGCATTCTTAATGTTTAGAGGCTGATTTTCAGAATTGTCAAAAAATAAGGGACAAGGCTTGGAATGAGTTCTATCGAAAGAGGGGGCAGGCATGGGTTAATTTTGTTTCGTTACTAGGAGCACATCCAATTTTTTTTAAAAACAAACAAAAGAAACGGCCATTCAGTAGTAGGAGAAAAGCATGACAAACAGACTGAAATGAACAAGGGTTAGTATAGAAGAGTAAAATACCAATGACCCACTCTACCCTTTCATGAGGAAAGGACAGTTGAAAAACGGAGTAAAGTACTTTTTAACGAGTGACTCTTTGTTCAGACATTAAATAACATAAACGAGGCCATGCGAAAGAAAGGGGGGGGGGGGGAGTTCATTCACTACACACAGGCTATCATTAAAATGCTAATACACGTAATACGTGCACGCCTATAGATCTAGTTTGAAACAGGTGCGCATATGAAGTCAATGAAATGACGCAAGCCCAATACAACTCAAATATCAGTACACGTGTCACCTTATCCCAGTACTATCACTTACTCTTTCTACAACCCTAAACTGTCCCGTGCACGGTTGTAAAATGAAATCGTAACAATGTGGGAGCAGGATTTTGATATTCAATTTAACTTTAATCTGTACCAGCCTGAACGAATAAAAAAAGGACGGGATCATTAACAAATCGCAACCATAGAATTTAAGAGTTCTAAATGACATTTTTGGCTGTTTCCAGCTATTCCGCCCATGCAGTCAGATACCAAATTATGTTCCTTCTGCTCTATCAAAACCGTAAGATTATTCGGGGTCGTAATGAAGATATTTAAAGAAATACATTCGAAAATGCTTGACATGTGAAACTAAATTTTTTACGTCAAATTTCGCAAAACTAAGAACTGAGCTGATAGAACTTTGTAATTCTTAGGTTGCGAAATGTCTGCGGTGGCCTGTTTTACCAGAGAGTTTTACAGTAATAACTCTCTCTGGTTTTAACCCGGCCTCACGCAAGAACTTAGCCGCCCGCGACTCATCAGGGGTAACGAAGCAAAAGGACTCACACTGTGTAGCCAGACCACAACTGTAAGAAAAACAGACGGCACAAAAAAGAAAACAGTGCCATGTCGAGTTCCTTCATACTCAACCGGGAGAGAGAGAGAGAAAGAGAGAGAGAGAGGGGGGGAGGGAGAGAGAGAGAGAGAGAGAGAGAGAGAGAGAGAGAGAGAGGCAGACAGACAAAATCTTATTTGAAGCAACTCCGAAAGGACCGTATTTGTTTTTGTTTGTGAGTGTGTAAAGGGGGCGGGGGGGTTGTTTTGTTTTGCATAAAAGGACAAGACGATATGTCAGTCAATAATGCCTCAGCAAAACGTAGGTATTTCCCGAACCATCCCCTGCGTTCACTCTCCTCACTGATGTATAAAATAAGTGCAGCGAGGCTTAACTAACGAGTGCGCTTGGAAAGTGATCCTCGAACTCACACCACGATAGGACATTGTGCGACATGACCTACATACATTTTATTATTTCACTCTTTCCATCGACACTACTACAGCACTGGACCCCTAGATTCTACTTTTTCTTTTACAGAGTCCAAGAAGTATCTGCCCCCATGCCCCCCCCCCCCCGTTCCCTCTTTTCCCCCACACATCATTCTTCTATTCGGAGGGGGCGGGGCATAATAGCGAAAGCAATAAGAACAAGTAATCCTGTTTATTGCTTAATTATCGCGGCATAATAAACTGTGACAAGTGCCCAAACTGTAACACTTTCGTTTACTGCACTGGAGCTTGACCTTTATCTATCTGTACCTTGTAATTGCTACTTCCATAAAGGTGGAACAAAATAATGAACAGTCCTACTCTGACACTGCAGTTGAAACATTTTGACCAACCCTCCTTTGACTTGAGATTTCAATGCGTTGATCAATATTACAATAACGGCGGTTATTGCAGCGTTTTACTCAAATTTTGATAAAAATGCAAATTTCAAAACGTTCCAGGGGGACGGCTGTGGTGTTATAGAGTCTCGTACGACCATGGAGCATTTAAATTTCTAGATCAACTGATCGCTTCAATTGAAAGCGTACGACACAATGTCAAAATTCAATGATCATTGATTGATCATCTTGATTTCTGTATTTTCATGCCCAGCGAACAAAACCAAAGGCTATACGATATTTAATTAGCCTAGATCTATATTGTATCATGTACTTTCACTTTAGATTAAGATAGCAATGTCCCAGTATTTTTCACGAAAGACTTATTAATAGCATTGGTTTCTAAGATCATTGCATCCCATCATTCTGTGACTACAATATATGACATTCAAATGACACTAAATGATTGACATGTCACTTCATTGGTGAACCAATAGCATGAAAGAGCAGCAGCTTACCTTGTTCTCGTTCCCAGTTGGCCTGTGCTTGTTGGCCCAAGATAACAGGCAGAATGATGGCTAAATGACACCACCATAACAGCACGAGGGCCATCAAGACAGTCCGCATGGCTCAAGACCGAAGCTACATGAGTTCACATTGAACAGCCATACCAAAACCTGAAAACCACTGCTTTGAAAGCGGTCGACTCGTGTCTGCACTACTCCTATCTAAGCATCCTTTTGCGAAATCTTCTGTGCGCCGTGCTCTTCCTCGTCTTTCGCTCACTCTCTTTCTCTCTTTCCCTCTCTCACTCTCTCTCACTCCGTCTGCTACCACTTCCTTCAGAAAAACCGCAAAACTCGCCACTGCCCCCCTTCTTTCTTTCGTCTCCCCCGGCGTCTGGGACTAACTTTAGACAACCCGCGAGACACAAATCTGATGCGATGCAAGGGAAAAGTATGGTAACCCTGTTGAGCAATGAATATAAAAAAGAAAAATACTTTCGTATCGGGCGAGAAAAGGCTCAGTACCGTACCTTGTAATGAGCCTCTTTTATTTTTTTAAATAAACAGGTGCTGAGAAAAGAAATAGAACTGAATTGATTCTATAACACTGTATCAGCCATGACACAAAGGGTACTAGACCAAAAAAGAAACTAAATTGAAGGTAGACAATCGCTAAAGTACATGTAATGGTAGATTTTTACCTAGCTGAAGTTCACGTCAATGATTCACAATTCACATCGACACAATGACACGAAGTTGTTATTTTTCTTTTCAGTAGACAGTATTTAATTTTTGTCTCAGTATTTTTTTGGTTTCCATTAGAGTTTCATTTGTCCTAAGGGACTAATTTCTTCAAACCACGGTTCAACTGATTTCTACCGATAATGCGTATTGTTCTTTGATGGTGTTTTTTCTTACTTTTTAGTCACAGAGTTCTTAAAGATCCTTTTCAGAGTTTTCAGTTTGAAAAAGGGTTTCAGAATTTTACCCAACGGGCTTATTTTTTGTCAACTTTCAAAAGCCAAAGGCGCAAACAGAACTTCCAAATTTTTATTTAAAATAAACCAATCATTAATTGTATACTTTTCATTCAATATACCTAAAATAAGGGAAGGGGGGGGGGGGAGAAAATTCCACCTCCATCAATAATATTTCTTGAATACTCAAATAAAAACGAATATAATAATATGTGTATATCTAAAAGCACGAGCGCCGACACGTAAATTTTACAGCAGATACAAAAAGCAAGTTTACTAATGCTCTTAATACTGAGCGTTTTTTTTGTTGTTGTTGTTGTGTGTGTGTGTGTGTGTGTGTGTGTGTGTTTGTGTGTGTGTGTGTCTGTGTGTGTGTGGGGGGGAGGGGGGCAAGGCTTTATCCAGGTTCTAAACCTTCTGTAAAAGACATTTTTGCTTTTGCTTTTTTTTTATGTTTCGAAAATGTTGTGCTTATACGGTTAGACTACACGACAGGGACAATAAAGTATACATACTTATCATATCAAAAGAATGTTGCACTTAATTGCAAACGTATTTTGTTTTACTGCACCATGGTATAGCATTGGCACACACAAAAATAAGAAACTTATCTTAATAAAACCATACCAGTGAAAATAGAAATGCAGTTCGACTCTTAACAATAAGGGGCGTACACAGAATAAGGAGGGATAATTAAACAACAGTCAAAGGTGTGCTCATCCACGAAGTTCATAAATTTGCATTGTATTCAAATAGTGAAACCAATTTTTGAAATGTACTCAGGCTAAAGGGCTATAACTCTGATGGTCTATGGATCGGAAAAGTAAGTAAAATACCGTAGTGAAATTTTTTCTAAAAGGCAACACAAAATTGGCATCTTTGTGCCTGAATATGAGGTACAATAGAAGGGAGTGTGTATTCATTACTGGAAATTATCAGGATGTTAAGTCTTCTTCATTCCTCCCTTAATACAGGGTGCCCATTACGATAGGATCGGCGGAGAGCTTTTCCCTTTCGTCAACCCGCAGCCACCTCCCGAATCGTCAGCCACCTCCCAACCTTTGACGTGGGCCAAACTTCCATCTATTTATAGGTAGTTAAATCTACCGGAACATGTATTAGGCGAAGTGATGTGCAATGAGAGTCGCAATAGAGAGATTGTTTTGGTCTCTCTTTACTCATCTGCACCACACGAATTTAATTGATGTTTTCCCCTGGACTCTGCCTTTACTAAAGTCTCGAATCTAGATCTAGTTGTAATCTAGTTGCAGGTTGCAGATTTAATAAAATGCCGACAGAGAGAGAGAGAGAGAAGGGGGAGGAGTAGATCTTGCAAGAACTTCCGGCAAAACAAAATGGCGACCCGCGTAGTTTTGCTCGATTCGAAAAGTGAAAGAGCCATAGCATCTTTGTAGACGATCAAATTAGCTTACTTTTGTACTATAACGTAATTTTTTTCGTTGCTTTTGTCAATTTGATCATCCACACCGATAGAAAGTATTTCGAAATTAGGAAAAACAGGTCTTGTTTCACACTTGGTGAGAATAGCCAACGCTGGCAAGTCTCACCCGGGGTGAGAGGTCAATCGTAGGGTTTTTATTCTCACCCCGGGTGAGGATAGCCACTTCCTTACTGAAATGATTAGGTGATTAAACTTGATCTCTTATTGACAATATAAAAGTCAATTTAAGCTTCATTTTGTTAGAAAAAAATGTGTTAGGTTTGCTGACTTCTTAGACTTTGTGTTAAACAACACTTTTAACAAAACGAATCCTTACAAGCCTAGGCTTGGCCTTTGTAATTTCGAAGGTTTAGAAGTAGAAGTAGAAGAGTCTACTACTAGAGTCTAGAGTCTAGTCCAATTTATTTAATCTCTTGAATGTACTGGATAACAGAAATCTGCAACCTGCCACTAGATTACAAATCTAGATCTAGATCTAGATTCGAGATTTTAGTAAAGGCAGAGTCCAGGGAAAAACTTCAAGAAATTCTCGAGTTGATGAGTAAAGAGAGACTAAAACAATCTCAATAAATAATATATTCGCGACTATCACGGCACATCACTTCACCTATACATGTTCCGGCAACTACCTAAAAATAGATGGAAGTTTGACCCGTGTCAAAGGTTGGGAGGTGGCTGACAATTCGGGAGGTGGCTGCGGGTTGACGAAAGGGAAAAGCGCATCGGCGGATGGGACCGATTGCCCGACTCGATCGCTTCAAATCGCCCGATCCAGCCGTAATGGACACCCTGTATTAACAATTACTTGGACCTACTGCACACTTCTAGGTTTTCTCCATTCTTACTAGGGCCAACATGGAGGTAGCCGTGATGCTATGTGCGAAAGGCAATTTTTAATTTACATATTGTATTATAATGAGGGGCTGATTGCTGAAACAGGGCTTAATCCATTTTTCTTTTTTTCACATTTGACAAAATGAGGTTCCATAGTTTTATTCAAGTCAACTTTGTGTTCCTCCAGAGAGCAGTAGGCCTAGAGCAGCTTGATCGACAAACAACGAGAACCCGGGTTAGATCTACCGGCCGTGTTTGACGATGTTCAAAGTTAGATCTAGCTAACTTGATTTGACTATAGATCTAGTCTAGAAGTCTAGATCTACATGTATTTAGAATCCTGTAGCCCAGAAATCTGGTCCCACACTAGATCTGGATATCTAGTCCCTACGAACGTTTGCGGCATTCTGTTTCCTTCATTACAGTTGAACAACCCCCCTCACACACAAAAACCGACAATTTCTAGATCTAGAATCTAGATTAGATTCTTTTGTCCCTTTACGTCTGTCACACGTCTAGGCCCTATTCATACGTCCCGAAACCCATGTGTTCTTACGTTCCTAGATCTAGATCTATATCCTCTGTACTGTAGGCCTACATAACCTTTAAACCTTCACTTTCAGGTAAAAACAATAACAATTATGATGAGAGGAAGCAGCGGTGTAAAAAACAACAACAACAAATAAACAAACACTGGATAGATCTAGATCTAGATTTAAATCTAGATCTAGATATCTAGATCTATCTGACAGTTGTCTGCGAACAAATTTTAAAAGAGTGTGATCAGAATAATGCCCGTGGCCGTAGATCTTGATCTAACAGTAGCATCAAGCTGAGCAGATTATACACTAAAGAAAGAGTAGATCTAATCTGATCTACATCTAGCATCTAGTCTAGATTTCTAGATGTAGATTCTAGATCTTGCCCTAGGCCTTTGTAAATTGTACAGCATATCAAGAAGCTAAATAAGAAGATCC